AGTTAGCAGAGACTTAAGTTCTGTTGCAGATATTCGAAACGACTACCAACAACTGAAAGACAAACTTAAAACTCAGGAGAAGATTTGTCAAGCTTTGGTATAATGTTAAACTTGGTCGAACACAACCCTGTAAAAGTGAACTCATATGTCATCGCACCTCATGAAGTTTTGAAAGAACTATTGAAACTTTTGACAGAGGCAGACGATATAAACATCAAAGAAATAGAACCCGACATTGCTTGCTGTGGTGTTTCATATAATGTCATTGACAAGATATACGTTATGAAAGGAGGTGAAACGTTGAACTTAAAATATAGTTTCCCAGACATAAAAATATTTGACGACCACAACATTTCATTAAAATTTATTTGCTAAGTAAATGGCAGAAGACATAGTGGTTTATACTATTACGACTAAAAACCCTGAGTCATATAATTCTATAACAACAAACTTACAAAGTCCTCAAGGACGATATTGTAAACTAACCTTAAACACAATGACGACTAAAGCCTGTTTTGCTCTTTTGACACCAGAAGACTTTGTTGTTGTGAATGGTAAAAAATACTTCTTTGAAGATACTTACTCAGATATACCACCAACAGGTTTTGTTGACTTATTTAATACTTTAAGGACGGATGTAACATGTGCTGCAACTAGAGCAGGTTTCATTATGTTTGGATGTCCGACTGAGTTTAGTATAAACGATATGAGCTATAATACAAAACTTATATCTGGTTTTTACTACCAACAGTTTCCTATAACAGGAAAAGGTGTCATACAAGGTCTATCTGTTCCATTGACTTTAAGCACACCTATTTTATATATTGTTTCAAACTTAGGTTCAAAGTGTTATTCGAATGTCGACAGAAACTACTATGACCAAAAGATACTCATGCGTATAAACAACACTTTCTCTGCTGGTTTGCCTATTGTTCATTCGAATGCAGAGTTTTCAGCTTTAGTGAACTCAAACACTTTAGCAAACATAAACTTAACCTTAGTTGACGCAAACTTTGTTCCTGTAAAACTTTTATGTCCTATGTATTTGTCAATGACGGCAGAAAGTTTCGAATTGGAAGATGCAACTGGTGAAAGTATTGTACTACAAGAACAACTTCAACAACAAATAGCTCAAGAACAACAAATGCAACAAATAGCTCAAGAATAAAAAAAATATTTTTTTTATTTTTATAAAAATGTACAGAATAGATGTTTCAGATTTTTATGACTTCCAAGCATTCAGAAATATGTGTCCATTTAGAGACTATAACAAAGCAGTCGAGAATTTGAAACGTTTAGTCATTTATGTCGACTCTGCCCCAGAATGTTATGTTATGAAAGAATGGGATGTTGTCTTTAACAAACCAAGAGCAACAATAGTTTCAGAACAAGAATGTAGACAGAAACTTAAGAAAATAAAAGTTGTACAAGTTGGTATGAAGATGTTAGATGCTTGGGATATCTTATTGTCAAAGTTAGAAGATTTTTCAGTTCGTGGTATAAAGTTATACACCTTCTCCAAACTTCTATTCTATCTTCACTGGATATAAATATGAACAAGTAGAATGGAAAGAAAATATTATAGAAGCTTGGTTAGACCATGTCAAAGAAATTATATGCAATGGAAACGAAAGAGTCTATGAGTATATCTTATGTTGGTTTGCAAACATCTTACAACATCCAAGTGCTAAAAATGAAACTGCTCTCATTATAATTGGAAAACAAGGAACTGGTAAGAACACTTTCTTTACAGATATTTTGCAAACTGTTAGAGGGCTATTCGAACCCGAATATGACAAACTTAGAAAACATCTGCGGTAAATTTAACTCTTCAATAGAGAATATGAAACTTATAGTATGTAACGAACTTCAAAGTATAGATACAACAAAAGTTTTAAACTCAGATGCTTTGAAGAGTCTTATAACAGACAAAGTTGGAGTTGTTGAAAGAAAATATAAAGACCAAAGAGTTTGTGAAAATGTTGCAAACTTCATCATGGTTTCAAACAATGTTGTTCCGATGAAGTTAGAAAGTTCTGACAGAAGATATGTAGTTGTCAGAACGTCAGATTCTCATATGCAAGATACAGAATATTTTGACGACTTAGCAGAAACTTTGACATCTGACTTTTACAACCACTTGTTCTCATATTTCATGACATTAGATATTTCAAAGTTCAATCCAAGACAAATTCCACATACCGAAGAAGACAAACATTGTTAGAAGCAAACAAGAGTGTATATGAACTGTTTATAGATGAGACTAACTTTGAGTGTTTAGATGAAAGGTCATTGTACGATGAATATAAACAATATTGTCAAGAGTATGGTTATATGACAGCGTCTAAACGAACATTCTTGGCAAATGTCAAAAATCTTTTAGATGTTCAGAACGGCGTATATACAAAGAAAAATTTTTCTGAGTAAATTTTAAAAAAAATATTTTTTTATCCGATAGAAAAGATGGCAAAATTCATCTCAGTAAACAAGTACATGACAGAAGTCAAAGAAGAACTAGACCCATTCGCATATTTGAATGTTTACTTCTACCATTTTGAAAAGTCTACATTTGACAAAGTTTGGAACATCGAACCCGTTAAGTTTGCTATTGTGACTAAAAATGGTGCGAAATTTGAAGACTTAGACATAGAAGGTTTGTTAGCAGTCAAAGAAAATTTTGACAGAAGGTTCTCAAACCTTAAAGAAGGCAAAGCATACAAACTTGTTATACCTTATGAACCAAAGAAGCAGACGACTATGAATATTATGAGTCTAAAGTTGTAGAAGTTCAAGGTAAATTGGGTAAAAAGATTTTAGAGTCTAAGCCAGTGTTTGCTCCTAAAGAGGAAGAGAACATTGACATTGACCCAGAAATGTTCTAAAAATAAAATTTTATTTTTACATGTCAAATTTCTTTTTCTCTGGAACTGGTCTGGTTCAGGTTCTTTCTCTCTTCTACTTTTTTTCTCTTTCTTTCCTTTCTTCTTCTTTTCTCTGGTGGAGTTATGTCAAATTTCTCAGAACCATATTTTGTAAAAGTTCTTTGTCCTTTAATAGCTCATCTATTCTGTTTTCTATTTCATCTTCAAGAACAGCGCATGTGTCTTCTTTGCATTCTAAGAACTTTTGTTGGACTTCATCTTTCCAATCGGCGTCATCTCTGTCAACAAGTCTGTCATTGACAAATTTTAAGACTTCTCTGCTTAATGTTTTATGGTTCTTGTCATATTCCCAGAAACAGAACTTTAGAACAAATTCACCTTTCTTGTTTACACTATGTAAGATTTTATGGTCGACAGATGTTTTGCTGTCGAAAAGCTTGTCTCGAATATAGATAGCGAAATCGCTAGACATTTTCTAAAAGATAAAAATTTTAATTTTTCTAAAAATATGTTAGAAAAAAAGTTTGCTGACATTGACAAGAAATTTGAGAATGTTTTAAACAAGAACAAGAGGAAGTTAGAAAATGCTCAGATAAAACCCATACATGACAAGTTCTTATTTGCTCAGAATGGTATAACAGGTCTAATTGCACCACCTGGGTCGGGTAAGACTTTCACTTATCTTAAAATGGCTGCACAACAACAAGAACTAGATGAGAAGAACCCATTCTATGAGTTAGTTGTTATTTGTAGTACTTCTGGTCAATTTGACCAAACCGTCAATTCGTTCAAAGATATTATAAAAAGTCTAAGTTAGTATGTATAAAAGACTCTGAGTTGTTAGATTGGATAAAGAAGTACCAAAGAAGAGTTTTGAAGTACAATGCTATAAATGAGTATGTCAATTCTAAGTTTAAAGACCCAAATGAGGAAATGCAGAGAATATTAGAGAAGAAACACTTCAGAAACAAACAGAAAGAGATAGAATACATTTCGAAGAAATTGCAATCTTACGATTGGAAGACTTACCCTCACAGATGTCTTCTTATCTTAGATGATTTGCTTCTCATCCTTTGTTAAAGAACAGAGAACAAGACATGTGTCGAATTCTTAAGAAGCTCAGACACTTTAACATCTCAGTTGTCATTTGTGTACAGACAGCAAAGAGTTTAAGTAAGGATGTAAAGAGAATACTTACTGACATACTTTTCCCCGGATTGTCCGAAGACGATTTCATGGAACTTATGAAAGAGTCCATGGCAGGTAAGTTTGACAGACATGAACTATGGGAGAAGTACAAAGTCATACAAGACCCTCATACTTCTTTCAGAATTCATATCTACGCAAACAAAGTTCAAATTGTAAAAAGTCAAGCGTAAAAAATAAAGAGTTCATTTACTCTACTTGTTTGAAGTTGTCAAAATACTCTGTTATTTTTCACGATTTTCATACGGAATCTCTTCTCTCAGTTTTTTCGAGGGTAGCAAGCATATGAGGAAATTCATGAAATTTGGTCATTTTTCAGCAAAAATAATGTTTCGGTGAAGAGGTGAGATTTCACCTGTTTTTTCACACTCTTTTTTCACCTCTTGAATTTTGTATAAAAGATATGATTTCAGGGATTTTTTTTACGAAGTGTCAAAGTTCTCTTCGTCACTCATAACAGTTATATATGAAATTTGGTCATTTTACTCAGAATTCAGCAAAAATATAATTGAGGTGAAGAGGTGAGATTTCACCCATTTTCTCACCTCTTTTCTCACCTGTTTTTTCACAAGCATTTTACATGAATTGTACGATGTATATTTGAAATCCTGAACAATTTCGTAGCTTCTATTTCTTCTGTCAGTATGTCAAAAGTTTTAACAATACCGAAGGTTTCTTTATATTTCTTCTTGACGTCAGATAGAAGGAAATCTTCTGCTGTTGGATAGTTTTTGTTCAGAAATTCTAACATGTCCATTTTATCTTCTGCTGGTTTTTCTGCTTCTTTCTTTAAATCTGCATAGTCGTTTCGCATACGTTCTATCTCTTTGACGGAGTAGTTATATTTCCTAATTGCTGCTTTACATTTAGAACATTGCGGGTTCATTTTTGCGTTATATTCTGAAACCTTACCTGCTAAAACAACTAAGGCGTCAATTGCTCTCTTCATCTCAAACATAGCGGGTCTTATTTGTTCGTTCCATACTTTGCCTCTTCTATCTTTATCTCTTATCTGCCATACACATTCAGCAACTAACGAAACAAAGTTGTCGTAGGTCTTAAACTCCCCAGATTTATATATGTCAGAGATGTTCTTATATACCATATCGCAATCTTTGTCCATAACTTTATGGTTGCAATGAAATCCTAGAAACTCATAGTTTACCTTTCGTATGAACTTCTTTATTTCTACTGAGTCAGTTGCTTTGACTTCTATTTCATCGAATTCAGGAATAGTGAGCTTTTGCTGCTGAATTTCAGGCAATTTGGGTAAATGGTCAATAATGTCCTGCATTTCATAAAGATACTGTTCATTTTCTTCATCTTTCGCACAACAGTCTAAATTACATGTTAAAAGTTCTTGCTTTATCTTCTGGATTTCTGTTTCGAAAGTATATGAAGAAGGAATGAAGCTTTTCATCTCTACTAACATTGAAGTTGGGTTCATGACTAACGAGTTTGGTGCTGTTGTTGCTAACATGTTCTTACAATAAAAATAAAAAATATTTTTTAAAAAAAACTAACTTTATTTTTTATTTCGGGAAAATTCATGAAAATTCAACGGGTGAGAAAAGAGGTGAGAAAACAGGTGACATCTCACCTCTTCACCTAAAATATATTTTTGCTGAAAAAATGGTTCATTTACTCACAATATTTTTGTACAAAACGACCCCAAACTTTTAACTTCTTTTCTGCAGCTTCTAATGCTATCTTAGCGAGTTCATTTCTCTAAATTCTCTCTTTAAAATCTTCTTGTTCCCATTGGTCTAGTTCGTATGGAGAATCTCTATAACCAGAACATATCTCACGTTCATGTTCTATTTGTTTAAGCACATTTTTTCTAACTTCTTGTTCGAACAAAGGTTTTGCATTCTCTACTGTATCTTCAAGTTCTTCTTCATCTAATTTCTCATGAACTTTCTTGTCTATGGAGTCCAGAATTTTTCCAACTGCTATACAATATTTTGGAGAAGCCCACATTGCTATATAGTTTACGAGTCTTGGGTCTACATACATTCCTCTAACCTGTTTGATTTCATCAGGAATTCCTGCATGAATTTTGTATAAAAAGCAACCCGCTGTTTTCCGCGGGTTGGTATATTCTTCACAAAATGCCTTAAAATACTCTTCCAGGACTTATTTTCCAACAACCTTCTAAAGTCTTTCCTAAACTGCTGACACATCTTTGTTGCATTTATATAACCATCCTTGTCTCTACGTAAGACTTCAATACCGTTGTAAGTGCCTTTTGTGAATGTTTCGCCATTAGATTTGTTCGTGAACGTTTTTGCTTCGACTGACATTTCTGTTCTTACAATAAAAATAAAAAATATTTTTTTTAAAAAAACTAACTTTTTTTCTGTCTTAAGGAAATTCAAGAGGGTGAAAAAACAGGTGAGAAAACGGGTGAGATCTCACCTCTTCACCTAAAATATATTTTTACTGAATTTAGCAACAACTTTCTCTCAATTGGAGCTGTGGCATACTCTTTGCGTAAGCGGTTCAGACCTTCTTCGAACTCTTGGTCTCTCTTCGATTTGGATTGAGGTGGAAATTGGTAGTAATTTGGTGGAGGGACTTGCTGGAACTGAGGTGCAGGGGCTGGTGCTTTAGGTTCCTCTGGTTTGGGAATGGGCTCGGTTGGTGGGACGTCGGACATTCGTTTGTGGCTTAACCGTCGGACCACAACGATAAAAATCTCTGCTACTAGCAGTACTGCTACTGACAGTAGCAGTACTTTTACTGACAGTAGCAGTACTTTTTCTGACAGTAGCAGTACTTTTACTGACAGTAGCAGTACTTTTACTGACAGTAGCAGTACTTTATCGTCGAAAACCCTCTCAAATTTTCCTTTTTACTGCTCGTAGCAGTACTTTTACTGACAGTAGCAGTACTTTTACTGACAGTAGCAGTACTTTTACTGACAGTAGCAGTACTTTTACTGACAGTAGCAGAGATTTTTATCGTCCAACTTTACAAATGTAAACTTATATCGTTCTATTTTCTTCACTAGGGTCTAACACCAAAATAACCTTACAAATGTAAACTTATATCGTTCTATTTTCTTCACTAGGGTCTAACACCAAAGTAACCTATGTACATGAAATTTCACTGCATAAAAGGAAAAACCTGCGCGAATCGGGATTTGAACCGAGGTCTTCGACGCCTTTAACGAGGTAGCCCATACCACTGAGCTATGAGCCGCTTACATATTCACAAAAATAAATTGTTTTCATGAGTTTTCTACGATGTTAGAAAAAAATGTTATTTTCTAATATCTTCACATTCAATACTTTTTCAGCACTTTTCCGTAGTTATATATGAAAGACAATTCGAGATAAAAGTCATAGTACAATGGAATAATATGTTGCACACCATTTGTTGTGAACCAAACTTGAAAGTCAGAGAAACTGTTACTAGGTGGTTCGTAGAATTTAGAAGCAAAGTCATAAAAGTCCTTACCAATACATAGAAAACTATTGTTGCTTGAACTGAAACTTGCATGACACATAACATTTTGAGGGTCAAACACGTTTTTATAAACTGTCAAATCTGCTGGTGGAAGTATAAATTTAAATGGACCATCTGGTGGTAATGGTTCGTTCTGGTTTAGTAACCGAAGAAATTGTGCCCAAGAACGTTTGTCTACTTCCAAAATAAAAACTGTGTATCTCTTGGAGGGTTAATTTCAATCTTTTGAAATGAAACGGTGGAGTTCATCTTGTCATATTCTAGTTTCAGATAGTATGTTCCATTTAGTAAAGAGTCGTATTTTTCTTGAAATTCCCAATAATATTTGTTCATTTGAGTTTGAAAGTCATTTAGAGTTTTCTCAAGACTTTCGTCTGAACGAACTGTAAAGATTCTCATTTCGTCAAATTTGTCTATTAGACCACCAGAACCTTTATACTGCCCATGAAAATATACTGCGAACATAAACGCGTTAGTTCTATTTGAAAACAAAACTCTTCTGAATCCTATTGCCTTTGCATCTGAAGGACTTTGAAGCCAACGAATTGGATAGTCAAACCTGTATGAACGGGATGAAATTTCTTCATCTGAAATATTTCTACCGGCATTTGTAAAGATATAGTCTAACGGTTTTGTATCTGCTGCTTTTGTTCTTTGTTTTTCAACCTGAAGCATTTAATATATGTAAAAATATATTGTTTTAAAATGGTATGCCATATAGCTTCTTGAATTTGTTAAGAAGTATTTGAACGTGTTTTCCATCTGTATCTCTAGTGTTTACATAAGCATAGCCCGCCTTAGTAAAAATATACTTGTAATTTCCTATAGTTTACGCCGGTATAAAAGTAGAAAGAGTCTTGTTCTTCGCTATAGTAGTAAAACTCAAACGTATGCTCGCCATAGTCTGTAATTTCAATTGTTTCATCTTCTAGTTCGTCGACAAATTCGAATACAATATCTCCAAATTTGCTTTTGTTCTTATTGTTTTCAGAACAAGTGACCCAACGTAAGTTTTCAAGTCTATTGTCGTTTCTTATACGGTTTATATGGTCTACAAAAGGTAAATTGTTAGGATTCAGTATAAAATGAGTTGCAATGACAATATGTTTAAAATAGTTTTTTCCACTCATCTTCATAATAGCATATCCGTCATTTCGCTCCCATTCGCTTAAAACTCTTTTTGTCTTTTTGTTTCTGACTTCAAATGACTCACAACAGTGAATTTCATATTTCTCATCTAACAAACAAGTTTCCCAACGGTCTTCTCCAACAAACTCAGCGTACATTTCAAATAAAATAAAAAAATATTTTTTTAAAAATATATTGTTTTAAAATGGTATGCCATTTCATATTTCTCATCTAACAAACAAGTTTCCCAACGGTCTTCTCCAACAAACTCAGCGTACATTTCAAATAAAAATAAAAAAATGTTTTTTTACTTTACATAACCACCTGCTGCCAAAAGTCTTTGACGCCAACCCATACCAGCTAATGAAGGTTGACTTGGTTTAGTTTGGAAACTAAACTTTGGTTTTGGTTTATCTTCAGTTTTTGGTTTCTCTTCTTCTATCGGTTTTTCGTCACTTTCGGTTCCTCTGACTTTACCTCACCTGCAGGAACAGTTGTGTTGTCAACATCTTCATAAATATCATATGCCATTTGTTTTTGTTTTCCTTTTCAACTTTTTGTGTTTGTTGTAAAGTTTAGAATATTTCGACTCTAAGTCAATGAGAATGTTCTATATATGAACTGTTGGTCAGTGAAGTAAACTTTTCCATCTGTTGTCTCGAAAGCTCCTTCAGACTTCAATATTTTATTTGTGAGAGTCTGTTTCTTTTTTGAGATACTAGCCGTTCCATTTCTATGAAAAGTGACTTTATAGTTTAGGGTTTGTATTTCCAGACCTGGCACTTTCTATTATTGAATTTTTTCTCTTCATCTGTAAGTTCTTTGACAGGTTTTGACAATGGTTCTGAACTTTTTGTTTGTGGTGTCAAATCTACCGTTTCAACTTCTTCGGTCATTTCATCTCAGAAAAATTTAGTTTGGTTTGTTTTCAACTGGTTGTTGTTGTTTTTTAAGTCGGTCTAAAACTTCCTGAGGTATAGGAAGAACTTGACAAACACGTTGTGTAACTGCTGGAAGTCGACAAATCCATCTTGAGCCCATTTGTCTTAAAGCTGTATTGTTCATTTCATCTCCAGTAAAAAACTTTACATTCCCCAAGTTTTGAGGTGGTTGCGGTTGGTTATTGTTTACCCACTGTTGTGCATGGTTATATCCTCTGTTAAAGAATCTTTCACCTTGGTCCATATAGTGTCCTGCTTGGTTATAGTAGTCATTTGCTTTGTTATAATAGTTTCCTGCTTGTCTGGAAACATTGTCCATCCATCCTTGAACTTTTCCTCTTGTTTCAGGATTTGGAATAAGATTTGTTGCATCTCGTGCTACATCCCAACCTTTCTGTACAGTTTGTATAATAGGTTGTGCTTTCTCTTTAAGTATACCTAATGTACTCAAAATCTTCCTTCCAACTCCAAATACACCTCTGGCTATTGTTCCCACTGCGGGCAAAAATCTGGATGCAACTCCTGCTAATGCGCCAAATAAACCCATTTCTTATGGGTTAAAAATGACGAATCCAAACAAGGACCCCTATGTTTCTAAGGCAACAAAGAAAGCACTCATGGTAAAAATCTTTAGTTCAACACCAAATGCTTGGTTTATGGATATCTTGGAAAACATTCCGAGAGTTAGAACAGATGGACCTCCATACTGGCTAATATTTGTCGGTCAAAACACAAGATACTGTGAAGCCATACCATTACAGTCCAAAAATATTTTAGATGTGAAAACTGCTTTGACAATATTCGTTGACAAATACCATCCAACAAAACTGACATCTGACTGTGAACGTTCTTTCAAATCAGACGATATTAAAAACTATCTGCGTTCAAAAAATGTAAACCAATATTTCATTGTCGACCAAAACCATTCTGCTCTTGGTGT